ATGCATCACTTTGAAACCAATCTTCTAAATTTTCTTCATAAGGAATTTCGAAACCTTAGATTTCTTTTGCTTGTTCGAGAATACTGTTATCATATTTTTCTTGAACATCTGAAAAGGATTGTTCATCAAGCGGTATCATCTTTCTCCACGATCGTGATAACGTAGACGATTTTCCATATCATCCATAACGTAGACGATTTGTTCCATATACTGCAATCCAATAACGAATATTGCTTTCCAAAAATTTGGTAGTGTTATAACTTCATGAATCAAATTTTTTTAATCTTGAAAATGTTTCTCTTTATAATTTTTGTGTGACTCCGGAATGAGCACGGATAATCCGCAAACCGGATAATCCGGGCACGGATAATCGAGAGTGTACTGTATATATACTGTTCTATGCTATACATTAAGGTTTTTTTTAAATATTTTTTGTTAACAGAAAGCGCTTCTGTTACTTTAAATTAATTACGTATGCTTTTGCTACTATTAAAAATATCTTTCAGAAAGGTATTAGTACTAGAGAGAATTGTCACATATAGCTCGAAAAAAGTGTGCCACAGGGGTCAAAACTGTTCTCTAACTTTTGTTAATGGTTGACCGAATCAGAAATGGTTGATTCTGTCCATTTTATAATCTGGTATTTTAAAATTAGCTATATACACATACTAATATCTATCTTAATCTTCTTTTTTTAACAATTTAGATCTTTCAGCAGTTCAGCCTCAAGCAATGGCTCCAAATTTTGTCACTGAAGTACCTTTTAGTGCTGCATTTCCTGTGGTTCAACAAGCTGATACGGGAGGTAACCTATGTTGTCCACCAATTCGTTTATAAATTTCTTTTTTTAGCAGTATGTTTATAATATTTTGTTCAATAAGTAATAATCTTTCTTTTCAATTTAGTTACAATGGTTTTCTTTTTTGAAAATAGTAACTGAATTATTTTTTACATGATTTGTTTCACATATTTTGAAACGTTGGCATAATAAATTGGCAGCATGTGATGGGTGGAGCATCTTGACTCTTAGACTTAGAGGTTGGGCAGCTCCAAAAATCAGGACACATCGACTAGAGGTCTATTGTACCCATATCCCTAAATCATGATTAACAAAAAAGCCTTATAGCTGAAATGTCAGCAAACACCAAACAGGAACGTCTTGCAGCTCACAGGCCTTCATGCAATGTTGCCCTAAATGCTCAAGTGAGCAGAATAGACCTCACAATCACAAAGTATATGTCATGAAGTCTCCTCTTCAAGATGACAACCTCTTCAAGATGACAACCTCAACAAAGAGGATTAGATTTAATGCCCATTACGTATAGGTGTTTCCTGAGGGTGCAGTGTCCAGTGAGAAGACCAATGATCTTCCTCAAACTGTTCCTCTTTAGCTTAACCCACTGACGGTTCTGCACGTAAAAAGTCGCATTTTAACCTGCAGTCTTCTCTGCATAGCAAAACCGGTTTTCCCATGTTAACTGATAGGGGAACTGTGTGTAGGGGAGAAACATTCTCCCAATTTTGCCCATTTCCTTAACCGCCAGTGGGTTAAGGAGCTCTTCAGCTTGTCTCTGACCATCCGAGTTACACTATTGCTTATAAGCAATTTTGCCGTAGAGCTTGAATATAGATGCCCTGAATGATGTGGGAGAAATTCTCAAGGCTGGTTCAGGGCCCCAGAAAATCACACTAAAGCCAGCAAGTACTGTTTCATTAGCCAGCTCAATTCCAAGAATGCCTATACGTCCTGGTATTCAATGTAGGTATACCTTGTTATGAGTAGAGAGGTCACAGAGGACCGAGAAGCACTCCCACACTAATGACTCTTGACTGTTTCATTTAAGTAAATATTTGCTTTAACTTTTGTTGATATTTTGTGTCAAGAAAGAAATTCTAACAGTTCCGTTACCCTGCGTGCATTTTTAGGAGACATGGAGATGCAGTCCTCAAAACTGGTTTTAATTTAGATTTGGAACCAAGTTGTGACAAATATTTACAATTTCGGCTGTAAGTTTGGTTTACAGTCTACTTTGCTACATCACAAAATGAAAAACTAGCCAGTTGTCTATTGAGTTACAAGTTGAATAATATAGATATAGTGTGCAAAAAAAAATTATGCCAATATTAGCTTTTACCTAAGATTAACATACCAAGATACTTTGCTAATTAATTTCAGTTAGTGCAAAAAATAATTTTAAGTTATACTTCTTTTTTTTTTTTTGCTAGATTTTCTCTTTAAATTTTGTACATCATCTTTGGGACTCATTTTTGTTCAAATTAAAACAATTTAAAACTCATTTACCTAATAAATATTTCAAGCGAAAAAAATAATATCAAATAATTATTTTTTATTATTGTTTAATCGTGATGTATGCAGATTTTGCTTTTAATATATTTAAAAAAAAAAAATTTTTGCTACTTTTTTTTGGAAAATTTCCCGTTAATTTTTATTTTGGGAAGATGAGTTTTATAAATGAGAAGTTAAAATGTTTGCAATTACATCTGAGAAGTATAATGTGAAAATATAAAGGTAAAGTGTAAGATCCTACTTCTCTCTTGTTAAAAATATGAAGACTACAGTTTCCAGTTTTTATATGCACCCTCCTCTTCTCTTGAATCAAGTGCCGAAATTCGGTTCCATTAAAATAAATAAAAATGAGTGTCCATTTGAAAATCTTTTCATCTGATGTCATTAGTTAAACAGGTTTGCCACTCTGCAGAGAAAACCTGGAAAATACAAGGAATTTAAAAATCAGCTAAAATGCAGGGAATTTTAAAATTTTCCTTACAAAGTGGGAATTTTATTTCTTATTTTTTTCTTCTAAAAATTGCAGACCTCTCAAAGTAATCTATGGTATATTTAAAGATGATATTTCAGCTATATTATATTATATTATTTCATTTATTATAGCATTATTTGTTTTATCTTGAGCTGTTTCTTAATTCTCCAAGTTTTTCCAGCAACTAAAACTAGCATCTTTCCTAATATAGTTTTACAAAAGCGAAGTGAATGTGTGTTTCCTCTTAAAGTATTGTGTATATAATATGAGCAGGGAAAACACAGTTTTTTTTTTTTTTTTTTACAGATATCCGTGGCAACCTGTTAAATGATCATCTGCCCTAATTATCATATGTAAGAGAGTCATATGCTTAGGTTTTGAATCTTTTTATAGGTTTTGATGCATTTGGGGATGTGTTACAGCCTCAGGCAACCAGTAGTCCCGTTCCCCCCGAAGAGTGTGATCCAAAGTCGTCTCCCACATCTACAGCAGGGGGAAGACTCATATCATCGGACTTAGATTCAAGCCTTCAAACTCTAGTCCAAAATCTAGACATCAATGGACCAAAGAAACCTCCTGCCAAGTAAGTTTTTTTATTTTAAATATCTTACGAAGTTTATCTTGAAATATTGCTCTGTTTGAAAATCCTCCTCAATTCTGTTTCAAATGCTTAACAGGGTTGCTACTCCACAGGGAATTTAAAAGTCACCGGAATAATGCAATAACAGGAAAAATGCAGGGAATTTCGAGTTTTTCTTTAGAAATTGGGAAAATACAGGGATTTTTGTTTCTTATTTTCGTCTTTTAAAAAGTGGTAACTTCTCCAAGTGCGATCTATGAGATATTTAAGGATATTTCAGCTATAATAAACTATTTCATTTACTATAGCATTATTTGTTTTAAGTAAGTTCAGCTGTTCCTTTTTTCTCTTAAGTTTTGTCAGCAATTATAACTAGTGTAGTTAGCCCTATACAGCTCACACGAGAGTGCAGTGATTGTGTTTTTCCTCTTAATATATTGTGCATAATATGTACGGGGAAAACGCAGAGAATTTTTTTGCAGATTTGAGTGGCAATCCTATTTAATCTCACCCGATAATTGTAATTTTTTTTTCTTTTACATGGTGCGTAGCATTTTTAAAAACTGCTTTAACATGCTTATTTTCTACTTCCGTTTTTTAAAAACCCTTAAAGGTGCTTTTTTCATGGGGTGTTTTTTAAAAGTGCTTAATTTTCCCTTTTCTAAAATGATTTTTTTTTTACCATGTCGATTTTCACCACGTATTATGCAAAAGCGTGCTTTTCAGATTGTTCTATTCAAAGTTTTCACAATGCATTTCTGTAGCGTATGAAAGCGCCAAACATTTTGCATTTTTGATGAAATACTTGTGAGTTTGCATGTACGTCTACTGAGCTGTGTTTGGTGAGATTATTGCACTCTCATGTGCAACTCTGCTGCATTGTGCAAGATATTTTCAATTTCAGGCTTCATTTTCCACTCTCTAATATTGAACTGAAAAATCTCTTGATCATTTTATAATGGCTAGTATAATCAAGAAAAGAGTTTTTTATTTTTTTGTCAGAAACTAGTTATTTTATCATGATCACGTAAAGTCTTAGAAAATTAAAATTTGAATTTTGTTAACATATATAGTACTTAAAAATATTTTTTGAGTGCTTAAAAAGTACTTAAAATGTGCTTATTTTTCGTTGAAAGATTTGGCTATGCACCCTGTTTTAGTATCCTGTTATATATTAAAATTTCCCTGAATCAGTAAAACAGTATTAAAAGCTAACTAAAACCTCTTTCATAATTTGAGACTATTTTGAAATAAATAAAATGTTCAGTTTTCTAATTATATATATGTTCTTGTATAGATATTTTAAAGAAGTTTAACAGGCATTAAAGTTATAGTAATAACTGACTGCCCTCACTGACAAAATGTGCATATTTTGTTTTTTAAGCTAATCAGTTTGTTACTAAATTTATGCAACTACTTGTAATTCATTCTATTTTTAATATTTTTTAAAATATATATGGTTTTTTCTTTTAACTAAAATTTCAATTCCAAGTTCAGTATCTAAATTGACCTCTAATACAAAGCTCACATCGGTCAACTTACATAGGTTTCTATGTATTTGCCTTCTTTTTTTTATCGAAAATTTAAATCTTCAGGGTGTTAAATCTTCAGGTATACTGCAAAAAACCTGGAAAAATCAGGGAATTTTAAAGAAAAGTTGGAAATTTTTTCTCAGATAATTTTTTTAATTCCACTAATTTAAATTATTTACTAATTTTCTTAATTTAAATTATTTCATCCATTCTACCCACTTTTTTTAGACGGAAATATATTGCCAAACAGTTGAAATATCATCAACTTAGCGATACTTTGTTTGCATCAAAATTTGCTCTATTACAGCTCTGTTAAACTAGAATGTCACATAAAATCTTCCACGGTTGCTAAATGAATGTAGAAACCTTTTACTGCTATGAGACTGTGCAATTTAGGAAAGAGGCAGGATTTAGCGGAGGTAGAAGGAGGGATTAGGATATTTGCTTCTGTTTTTAAATTCTGTCCGTGGGCTGAATCCATTTATGGCTCAAGTATGTTCCGATGCTTTGGTGGTAATTTTTTTCTATTTTGACGAAATGATTCAAAATGTTTTTGTATTTTTAACTTTAGAAAATTCCCCAAAAATTAGCTGGTTATAATTTAAGAATAATAGATTTTATATTGCATTCTTTTTCTGAAAGTTTTTGTACTCTCATTCAAAGAAATTTGTTAATTATTTTTTCTCAGGAAACCAACCAATCACACATTTTTTTTACAATCGCTAACAGCAATGTTTGTCGACAAATTGTTACAATTGTTGCATTAATGCTAATTTTTCTATTTCATTTTAACTTTTTATAGCCTATTTTAATTTTTAAAAAAAGGGTTTTTTAAGAACTAAGTATATATTAATATTTAATTTTACTGTTTTGTTGGTAAATATTTGATTTGTATAGTTATGTTGGCAAATAGTTGAATAATATTTGTTAGTAAATATTTTATTTGTATAGTTAAATTTGAATTGTATAGTTATCATAATATTGAAAGTTCGTGAATGTTGCTTGCTTTTCAGAGATGATATTTCCAAAACTATTCCTCCTTTTACCCTAAAAAGCTGACAAAGACTAAGGAATGTATAGGAAGTATATTAAATGATGTATAAACATAAAATGTAATTTTTTTTATTCATATGTGTTTAGTACAAAGAAGGAAATCGAAACTTAAGAGTTTTAATTCTGCACTGTGCAAGAGTCTAGTTGTTAAAACAAAAACAACTAACTATACTAAACTAAAAAACTATGTGTTTAGATTGGAATTCTTTAAATATTTTAATTTCATATAAGAAAAAAAAGTATAAAATTTAATGAATTTTATCTTTTTCTTTTCTATAGATTAAACAACAAAAAGTTAGACAATTTTACATTTATGACATTTATTTTTGGATACTGAATCTCTTAAAATAATAATGCTAATTCAAAAAAAAAAAAACATTATTTAAAAACTTCACTTGAGATATTGGTTTAAAGAAAATATGATCAATTAATTTTTTAAAAAGCACTGTTAAGATAAAATACAGTTTACAGTACAGCTTTATATTGAAATATAAATCCAGTGATTCACAAAAGTGTTGGTACACTTATGACTTTAAATGAAATAAGACTATTCATTAATTAAAATGAATATTTCAGAATGGGTATTTATTAATAAAAAAATATGTTCTATTCTTATCAAAACTGCATGGAATATTTTAAAAACAAGGCAAAAGTTTATTTGTAAGAAATCAATCATCAAAAAGTAACAATCACTTTATCGCACAAAAGTTATCGTACACTTTAAAAAAATCTCTGCCTATTAGTAAATATTCTAATTAGTAATATATTAGTAGAGTTTCCTGTCACATCTAGAATAGCTTTATTAAGTTCGTAAATAAATGTAGCTAGTTTTTTTTTTCTTTTTTTGTCTGATCAAATTTGAGCAGAATATTTTTTATAAAATTAGAAACTTTTTCTACTCTCAATTGTAAATTTATGAATTTTTCCACAAATTTTATAATTTTAATCTCTGATATGAAGTCCTTCTTTTAAGCATTTTATCGCATATTACACATTTATAGCATTTTATTGCATATTGCAATAGGACACAATATAATAATTTAACAATATTCATTACTGATTTACCTCTTATGATGACAAATAATCAACTATTGTTTTATTATGACCATGAGGCGTTTTTAAATGACAAAAGAAAATATTACGGTGAATCAAAAATTTAAATATAATTTTGCGGTCTCAAATTTGATACTAAATTGCAAATAGATATATAAAAAATTTAATGAAAAATAATTAAAGAAAAAAATTAAAGCAACAGATGATAATTTTAATTCTGAAATCAGAAAACATTTCATTTTTGTTACTATTTGATTATTGATATCTTAAAAATAAACTTTTGCTTTGTTTTTAAAATATTCCATGCAGTTTTGCTTAAGATTAGATTATACATCTTATTATCTGAAATATTCATTTTAAATAATGAATTTTTATTGCCTATTTCAATAACAGTTACAGGGTCCTTAAAAACTGCTTAATTTTTATTTTGGAAAATAAGGGCCCTTAAAAGTACTTAATTTTGGTTCAAGGTTTGTAAAAGTCCTTAATTTTTTAGCATCACTATGGTTGATAGGAATAATTTTTCAGTTCAATTTTTTCAATTTCAATGAATAATTGAAAATGGAACACAGATTGGTTTCATATGTTAACTTTTATAATCTGAATGCCGTAAACTTTTAAAAATCTGAAAATGTTTTTAAGAAAAACCAACCCCGGTTTGCAAAAATTGTCTGGTAGTTCTTAGGCGAGCCCTGTTAATTAATATAATTATATTAGTTCTTACATTATAATAAAATTGTGTTTTATGTTTTTTTTTATTTATAGATTTTTTTAGGACAGTAAATAATTTTCACTATCACTGAGGGCATACTCGATGATAAACAATCATACTATTTTTAAAATCCTTAATTTTTCAAAAAAGTTCTTAATTTTTTCAAAAAAAAGTCCTTAAAAGTGCTTAATTTTTGCTTTGTTGAAAGAGTGGGAACCCTGAGTTATAAGTGAACGAAAAGCCTAAAAATTAATCTTGTACCAAAACATTTAAAAATAAATAGAAAGTCTTGCAAAATTGTCAAAAAAAAATTTTTTTTTCTAGATATGTTAAAAAAATAAGATTTTAAATAAAATATTTTGTAACTTAGACACTTATTTTGTACACATCCTGTGTGGTATTGCTTTTCTGGTGTTTTGTTAGTTTTATATATATGTGGTATTGCTTTTATGATGTTTTGTTACTTTTATCTTTGCTGCACTGCTCTGCACTGCTATAATTACTTTAAAGTTTTAGTTTCTCTTTCATAAGTTTTCACCTACCCTTAAATAATTCAGCCAAAAATAAAAGAAATAGCAAGTATAGCCCTACTTATTTTGTGATGGTGGTAGCAGCCAATAAGAGTTGAGTAGGCTTTGGGGGCTTGGTTAGACGAGGTGAGAGAAAAGGCAGGGGCACACATGGTTTTGGAGAGCTGAGGTTAAGATACAAAAGATGAGGATCCTCAACAGCTAAGTTATATTATAAAATTTTCTATCACCCCCATAATTATTATTTTTTATTAATTAGCAGTGCAGCTTCATATTGTATAATTTCATGTTAAATTTTTATGCATTATTAATTGGATTGAATGCCTTCCTGGAACAAAATTTGTAACTCTAAATATCTTAGTTGATCTATATTAAATAAATAATTTTAACACCTTGCAAATAGTGATCATTCTAATTATCTTGTTCTCTTACTTAAGAGTATATTATTTTTAATTGTTTATTTCATTTTTATTCTTATCAAAAATATCTGTGGTGATGTTCATCACCGCACACATTAAGATAAGAATAAAAATGAAATAACAATATTTAATATCTGATGCTGAAAAAAATACATAAAAATTGATAGGTATTTTTTAAAATGAGGAATAGTTTGTAACATTTTATGATTTTCAACTTTTTCGTTTTATAATATATTTTATGTTTTCTAATGTTATGTTTGTAACATGTTATGTCGATATATTGAACCATTTTGTTTTGCATTTGAAATTTGTTACTGAAAACTTTTCCCTCTATTTTGTTTTGGAAATAAGACTGCAAAATTATCGGTGTAGGTGTCTATAATCAACTAAAAATATCCTAAGTTTAGATTTAGAAAACTTATTAATTTGAAAGAGAATCACTGTACTTTGGGTAAACTAGACCACTTTCTTTAGATCTGAATTCTTTTTAATTTCTCTTTAATTCTTCTTTTTAGTTTTTAAATTTCTCTGAAAAAAAATTTTATGTTGACCTCTGATGCCCAAATCTTCTATGCTTAATGCTTGCATATATTATGTTAAATATATTTTTGTACAAATTTTATTAAATTATTTATAATTAATGTAGATAATTAAATTGCAAATTCTTTTGCCAAAACTTATATTTTGGTTATTATAATTAAAAATATTTAAAGAATATCATTTTATTTCAAAATTTAGAACTGGTGGTCATCAGTGGGGTTCTCCAAAAATTTCTTCTAGAACTGGTGGTGTGAACTGGAGTCCAAATACACCTGTGTCAAACTATGTTGGTGTGCCACAGAATGTACCGCCTGTGGTAAGAACGATATTTTTATAAAAATTGATTTTAATATCTTTTCAAAGTTGCTTAAATTTTTTATTTAAAAAAAAAAAATAACAAACTTGTATTTGGCCCTCCATGTTACCTTACTTGTAAGGCATGAATTTATACTTAAAAAAGCGTATATCAAGTTTAATTAAGTTTGCATAAGTGCAATTTCAAGAATGATAATTATAGCATGTTTCTTTGTAAAAATGTAATATTATATTAACTTGCATATTGTATGACTTTAAAAAAAGTGTTTATAAAATTTTGTTCGATTTGTTAAGATGTTTGTGCAAAGCTGCCTCTTCAAATTTCAGAAACATTTTTCACTTTTGTCCTCAGAGAAAGCTATTTCTTTTATTTTCTAACAGTTATTGATATGACCTCTCTTCAGAACTCCTGAGGACTGAAATTAGTCTTGAGAAAATGCAAGAGACCAGAATTCCATAGGACAATTAATATCTTTCCAATTTGATTTCTGAATTTATCAAGAAAAAAATTATTTCTTCCTTAAAAAATTAAACATACCTGCCAAGTCTACTGTATTTTATCACTATCTCCTGTTAGCCCATATATTCTCAAATTTCTCTGTATTTGTTTAAGGAATTAAAGAAAAAAAAATTTGTGATAAACTATCCACTGATGGCAAAAATAATTGTCTTATTACTCAACAGATGGTGCTATTGCGAGTACTGTAGTATGCTGAATGTTAATAGTTTAAGAAGAGGCCGGGATAGTCTGGGTGGTTGGGCACTGGGCCCATGTCCTAGAGTATGTGGGTTCGATCCCAAGCCGACCGAAGACTCCCAGTGTAGTGAACGGTGACTGATGCACGTTAAATCTGTCCTCCATGTTCCCATAACAAATCAATACCTCTGGGGGTACTGATCCAGGAGTTTCCTTGTCTTCTGGATTGGTTCAAAATTACAAGGCTACGGAGTTGAAAATTAGTAGTTTTAAACCCAAAAAATCGGGTCAACTGTTTAATGACGGATATGAATAGTTTAAGTAGGGGCCGGGATAGCATGTTTGATTAGGCATTAAACTCTTGTTTGTGAGAACTGGAGTTCGAATTCTGCCGGCCAAAGAACCCCGTCTAATAAACTATGACGGATGCACGTTAAATCAGTCGGGTCACAAAGTACTCCGAGTTCCCATAACAAATCATTCCGGACTGGGATCAAAATTACAAGGATACAGAGATGAACATTGGCAATTGTAAATTCAGAATTGGGTCAGCTGTTCAAATAAAATAGTTTAAGTAATTATAAATAATTGTTTTAAAATCCTTTTTAGATTAAGATTTATATGCATATTTTTTACTTTGCTAAATGTAAGTGCTCTTATATTATTTCTAAATTTAAATTTTTACTTTTTGACTTACATGATTATGCATCATGTATCAAAACTTTACTCTAAGCCTAAAAAATGTAGCTAGTAAAATCTCCGTTATTTTATTTCTCCAATGTGGACAGATATGAACAAATTTTTTTTGGTTAAAAATAATTTGAAATAATGTTACTTTTTAATGAAAATATTATTTGTCGTAATTGCAAAATAATAAAATAATAATGTGACACCACAATGAAAGAATTGGAAGGATAATACTTCCTATGTCTTCCGTGTTCCATCTGCTTCAGTTCCCCCCCCCCAATATAATANCCCCCCCCCCCCATTTTTTGGAAATGCTCAAATTGGAGATTATTTTTTTAAAAAAGAAAATTTATAGAGTTAGGAATAAAAATTTATGATATGTAGAGATATCAATGGCTCCAAGAAAAAATTATTGTATTTTGTTGTATTGTATTATTGTATGTTTCTTTTTTGGCTTTATTTTTTAATGGCTTTTATTTTTGTTTTGTTTGCTGTAAAAAATATCTATAAATATTTTTAAGAAAAAATAAACAAGTCATTGTTATAATATGTTGACCATTCTAATGTAAGGATACGTTAAAAGTTTAGGGTTATATTATCAAATTCGAAACACATTTATTGGAGTAACAAACTGGATTATGTGAACATGAATAAATATTTCTTAATTATTCTTTTATATTTAAATGTAAGCCAATTTCTTATTCACACCCATTTTGAATATACGTGTAAACTAAGTTCTCTAGCAAAGTTTGTCACCTTAAAGTAGTGAAGTAGTTACTACAATTCAAAATTAGTTTGTAGTCAGTTCATTTTTTTAAAAAAATAGTTGTAGTTAACTACATTTGTAGCAAGTTGTAGTTGTAAATTCTGTGTAGTTGTTGTGAACTACAAAAATAATGTGGTTTTTCAAACTACTGGCTGAAACTCATGCTAATCATACATTGGTGAATCTGATTAATTTAAACTTAGAGTTCATTTTAAAATTTGAAATATATTATGTCAGAATATTTTGTCTCAATTCTCAGGGGTCTGTTTAAAAGAAATTTGGGTCCGTAAATGGATGCTTCACAAAATAATTTATCTTTTAATCAGACCCTTCACAAGAGACACTAAAAAGCATTTGCATATTATTGTAAATGGGCGGGAAAAATTGGCTGATGCTGAGTGTTTTGTTAATCATGTTTTTCTGCTTTAATTCTAAGGCTAAGTTTGATCTCATTTCATTTATATTAGGTCCCTTAACCTCTTCAAAGTCAAAAAAATTTATAAATTCCAAATGTAGTATTCTAAGAAAATATTTCTACTTCTATAAACATTGTGTGTACATTCTTATTGATATTAAAGGATATTTTTTTGTTAATAAATAATTGAGCAATATATTATTCATAAAATTTATTGATAAAATATTATGTAAATAAAAATTAACTTATATCATTTTTTTAAAAAAACTATTATAAATTTAAGAATTGTTTAAATTTACTTAATGTGTAACACATTAAGAGTGATACATAACTAAGTTATGTTATTTAAAATATGTCTGTTGAAATTATTAAAAATTTGAGTGATTTTGTTTCCATTAATAATCCGAAATGAATATTCTGTGTTGTGCAGTATAGGCTAAATACCAAATATTTGTATGTTGCATCTCTAATTTAGTAGCAGCAATAGCTGTTTATATTTGAAAATTATTTTTTTTTAATTATAATTTTACAGTGTTGAGCATAATCTTGTGTCCATTTACAATTTAAAAGCTCCTTGAAAAGGTTTTTTACAGTAACAGGACCCAATTTCCACAAATTCACAAAACAGGACCGTAGTTGAAAGAATGTGACTTAACGCTTATTTTATATTCACAAATCACAAGTAATTTTTTCACAATTTTACAAAAACAGAACCTTTCACAAAATTTCTGGACAGACCCTGATTCTGGTATAATATTTTAAATTATAATTTTTATCCAAAAAGATAAAGATTGTTTATTTAAATATTGTTTCTCAATTCCATCATACTTTCACTGCTGGGTTAAAATTACCAGCTTATAAATGTTTGCAAAATGTAATTTGTTTGTGATAAGCCTAAATGGAATGAACGAATGAATGGCTTTTTTTCCTTCTAGGCTGCTGTTGGGCAAGGAATGGTTGGAATGGTCAATGTTCCAGTTTATGGCTATCCTCAAACAGTAATACCTACTATGATACCTGCTCAATCCTTCAGGGTAACCAATACAGTTACATCTCTAAGTGATTTTAGGAAAAACTTTAAAAAGTTATTCCAAATTGGTTTTTCAGAAATTGTTTTATTTAACAAAAAATTTGACAAAAAAGCCCATTTATTAATTTTAGAATGCCGCTACTGGAAAAGCTGTTCTTTAGATTAGAACTATGTGTTAACAAATTGTTTAAAACTTCCTAGATTTTTTTTCCCTAAAAGTTTTAAATAATAAAAAACAGTCATTTGAAAAAATTATTTTTTTTTCTATGTAAAATTATTATATGTTGCTGTTTTTAGCATTTTGAATAAATGACTCTTAATTTTTATTGTCATTTTATTTGCATGTAGCATTCTACTTGATTTATAAAATTAGAGCTGATTTCATTTGTTTATAATATCACATTATCCTTTTTTTATTGTTATCCCTGTTATTTTTTTTATTGTAATCCCTGCTATAGTCCTTTTTTATTGATTAGTATTGTAATACAAATCAATTGATTTGTCTTATAACCAGTCATAAAGACTTTGGTTATATCTTATTTTATGTTCTTATTTTATGTCTTGCCAAAAGTTGCTGTTATAAAATAATCAAACCAAAGACTAAAATTTTGTTTAATAATATTTTTATCACTAATGGGATATATTGTCCCACTGCTAAGTATGATTGAGATAATTGTATGATCGGGGCAATATATATCTCTCAAAATAAAATTTCTAAATCTGATACTAAATACGTACAATTACTACTTAATTAGAACAAACATAACTATTTTACACAATATATAGCCAAAAATATAGTTGTTACCTGAAAATTTAGAAAATATGTAAATAAAAAGAGATTAACTGGTGTACTCGCAAACAAAAACCCGCTATTTTGAATATCAGAGTATTTTCCTAGTACCTTTAGTCATATTTTTATTCCCTAATGCCTAAAGAACCCTGAAAACATAAAAACCCATGCAAAATTGCTATCTGTTTATCCATTAGGGAATAAAGTTTAATCTTTGGGACATATATATAACGTCATTGCCGAATGGAAGGATTAAAACAGGTCTTAGGCCGGGAAGGAGGGTACAAAATTTATTTTTTGACGTAACTCTACCTTTTCAGTAAAGTATAAATTTAGGTCTTTAGTTTGGCCAGAAAATTTTAAATTTTGAAAATCGTTCAAGCCAAAAGGAGGTGAAAAATAATGCTCTTGAAAAATTTAAACTATTTCCTAATATGAATTACAATTAAGGCAGTTATTAATATACAATTTCAAAGCTGAACCTTAAATGAATTTTTGAAAATTTCTAACTTTCCATTCGTCATTTAATTTAGTATCTAGAGTTTGTTTTTCGAAATGCTTGAGCCAGGATGTGAATTGAACACCAATGCCAGGCTCAAAGATTAGTATGTCTGGTTTATCCTATACATTTTGATCCATACTTAAATTTTTTAAATTATCATTTAATTCATTTTTAGAATTATCTATATTGCTTTTAGCATTTTCATCCATATTAAATTTTTCATTTTTGCTGCTCAGTAAGAGCATTCAAATAATGTAAATAAATTTCAATGATTTAATATTCATTTAGAAATAAATTAAATCTCACAGTTGCTTATTTACCGTTACCTTACGATAAATACTAAAACCAAATTTAAATTTTTCATAAATATTCAATTCATCATATATTATAACACATAATTTAATTAAAGGGAAACTAAATATCCTATAACATTTTTAGGCTAGTCAAATTAAATCAATTTTTACTTTGCAAGATTTTCCCTGACTTATAACCAAGGAGCACAACTTTTCATACACACACTTTCATGACTGCTCTGTCTAATAATTAATAAATAAATTTTGTACCCTCCTTCCCAGCCTGAGACCTGTTTTAATCCTTCCACTCGGCAACGACGTTATATATGTATCCTATTCTGGTTAAGATATCTTTGGCTTTTCGATTACTTTGCCTTATTTTTAAGAGTTTAAAGGATTTATGTAAAATGCCTTTTATGCAATACTTGCCTGCTGTTAGGATGCTGTAACATTATTGCATTTTCTATTTAATTTCAAAAACATTAATTCGTATCTTCGCTTAATTATTGGATATTAAGTACGTATCAAGCCTTAAAAGTGATTTATATTTTCAGATGCAAACTGTGTGGCAGACAACGGCCCCCCAACCCACAGCTTTTGTGATCCAACAACCGGGAATGCCCCCCCAGCCTGTGCAGGTTATCTATGGAACACCTTCTCCACAGCATACTGTGATACAAGGTACACCCACAGCTGGTTCTGTGGCCGGTCACAATCCTTCAAATGATCCTTTTGGAGTCTTGTGAAAGTAAGTTTTAGTATTTAACTTTGAAAAGTATTTTTAGGGCTATTTTAATTAATTAAATCAATTTTTTTTTCTCCACTAGAAAAATCTTTAAAATCAATAAAAACTTTTTTTTTTTTTAAAATCTATTCCTCTTTAATTGTCATTTCCTCATTCATTTTTTTTAAAAATTGAATGAAAAAAAATTTGTATGAATGATGTTGTATAAAAAAAAATAATAAATTGTGAAATTATGTATATATTATTGTAAGTGTAGGTTTAAAAATTATTTTCAGAAATGCATCATTCCTTGCTTAAAAACCTCTTTCTTACTGAAATGTCAATCTTCCTTTTCATTTGTTTTTTTAAAAAAATGTCACAAAGCATATTTATTATGAATACATGTTTTATGTAAAGATTAGAGGCCGTGGAAATGTGTATATATTATTGTAGGTTTAAAAATGAATAATTTTACTAACATTGTAAACCGACATTATCCATCATTTTCATAGATATGCTTCAACTTTCTGTTCACACTACGTGTTTATGATTGATTTATAAAAAACATATATGGTTATGGGGTGTATAGCAATTGATTTTTCATAGATTCATGTATTGAAGTCAAGCCAACTGTGTGTTTTTTAGTCATGAATTTCTACTTAATACAAAATTTAGTTTCACTTCCTTGAGTAATAGATGAGGTGTTAGAAGTTGTGGCTTTTGCTCTAAAATATTACTCTAATCTTATTTACATTTTACAGATAAGGTTCAAAATTACAAGGTTATAAAATATGGAGCCCAATATCTACTGTATTAATTGACTGGTTCAGTAGTGGTCATGCATGTAATATTACTGTCAAACAGAATTTTAAAAAATTCGAAATTTCATCATTGATCCATCATTTAAGCAACAAAGGATTCATTGTTCGTCACTGTGTTGGCTAACCTTAGTCTAGGCAGATCCAATATCAATATCTATCCTTTACAAATACTTTTACTCCATTTATTTACAGCTGGATAATCACTATAAACAGCCATTATTTGATAATTTTCTTCATTATGTTCGGTTTTTGGCCCTAAAATTATACTTTGTGGCTTGTTTTGTTCAGGATGCATCCTTTTCAGTGGAATCTTACATTCACTTTAAATGCTTTCATGCAAACTGTTAAATCAGTCATATGAAATTAGCAATATCCTCTTCTGCACGGTGACTCTATTACTGCAGTATTTTTGGCAAATTGCTTCTCATATAAACAAACTTTATTTAAAAATTGGCGATTGAGTAAAATGCTATTTCAACTTTAAAGGAAAAAATTCCTTTTTTTTTAATTTGAATGATAAAGAGTCAGCTGCATTAATTTTTATCTTCAGTTTTAGATAACTCTTTGTAAAAGAGTTTAATCTTTATGGTAAAATTATATGGGTGCACAACCTGTGGCCCCTGTGCCACATACAGTCCTTCAACTGACGATGTGTGGCCCGCACGAACTTCTGAACGCAATAAAAATATTTCTTTTAATTTAGTTTTTGTTTAAACATTTTAAATTTTCTTTAATTAAAATATTTAATTTAATATAACATATAGCTGTATAAAATGCGTATATTTTTTGCCCTTTCATTCTGTAAGCTTCTTTTGGTTAGAATTTATGTATTGAAGAAAAGGTATCAGTTTTTTTAGTTTTGAATAAATTCAAATAATTAAAAGTATTTCATTATCTGCAAATATGTTATTAAGTTTTCTGATAAAAATATTTAGTGCTTTAGAACACTAATGTTTACATAAAAATTATCATACTTGCCACTAACATAACTATATATGCGTGTGGCTCTTCGTTAATCGACCTGGTGTGCAAATGGCCCTTAACTCAAAAAGGTTGTGCACCCCTAGGTAAAAATTACTTTTGGACTGAAAAATTGGTGTTAAATTATTTTTCTTTTATTTCAGAAATAATACTAGTCTTAAGTACAGATGAATGTTTACTACTGGTTCATAAAAAGTAAAAGCAAAATTGGAGCTAACTTCGAGGAAATAAAAAGTCAGCCTCCAGTTAAAATATAGTTCAGCAAGAGCATTGCTGCCTTTATATATATATATTTTGTTTTTGTTTTTTTTTCTCTTTGTTATGTAAAGTGTTGAAATGTGTACTTAAAACAGTTCATCTGAGTACATCAATGCATAATTTATTTTCAAACTAACAGCAAATTAGCTCATAAAAATAAAAGTTTTTGAAGGAAGACAATGAAGTGTGTCTGTGGGGATTAAGTTTTGGCGATGTTTCCTCACTCTGTGTATATATGTGTGTGTGTTTTTATATAAATATGAAAGATCATCATTAAATAATAAGAGGTGTTAAGACTTAGAGCCTTATATCTAGAGAGTGCAATGCAATGTGTCAGACCACAAAGAAAGTTACATGGCATTAAAAAATTTTGCAAAAATATTCTAGGTTTCAAAAATATCAAAGGGCACATACAGTTTAAAAGTAAAAATGTTAGTTTTAGTGCAAAAACAGTGCTTTTAAAGTTTCTTTGCGTAAGTGAAAACTCTACTGAATTTTGAAAGGTTCTTTTATTTATTTTTTTGTATATTTTTAAAAATTCCCTAAAAGTAAAAGAGTTTCTAAAAAAAATCCCTATTTATTACCCCCTCTAACTTAATGTGAGTAATATGCACTTCTTAATAATGAACAGAAATTTTATAAAATTTGCTATTATTTTTATTGAAATGTGCTTATCATTAAGACACAAAAGAAAGTTTCTTGCATGAAAAATATTTTATTTAAGAAATAAAATAGTGTGTATATGGACCACTAGCCAAATCAAGGGATAAATCATTTAGTTAAATGCTAGTTTTTTTAGGACATTTGTTTCATTTTTATTTTGTTTAAAGAACTTTTATCTACCATAAAAAGATATGAAACAAATGGAATAATTATACATTAACAAAAAGTCTTAATTTTTTCAATAACAGTTTCAAGTATAAAAACTAGTTAGTTTGAAAATTTCTCAACAGAAAGTGTTTACTCCAATTTAATTACTAATATTTTGATGTCTTCAGAACCCTTGAGAAGAGCAGAAAAATAAAATTAGTGAAAAATGTACATCAAAATGATAATAAAAAAATATATGCAGCTTTGGCCGAAGATGGGTTGAACTTAAACAAAATAAAAAGAATGCTATTTCATTCATTCAGTCCATTTAATGTCAGTAGCGAACAGACAATATGGCAATCAATTTAAGTTTGTAGATTTTTTATGTATAACATATTTTGTGTCATAGTTTTCTTTATAGATTTAAAAATTAAGTGTGGAATTTTCTGAAAACTGTACATTAGTTAGTGTAAGATTTCTACCATTTTGTGAAATCTTCATGGTTTGTTCCCCTTCCTCTATTTAAACCTATAAATTGATTTAAAAGTCACTGATGATTATTTCGTGATTTTAGAAATTATTACAGGGTGCAAAGCTTTTTTAAAAAGTGCCCTGAAGGTGCTTATTTTTGAATTACATTTTCTGAAAGCCCTTAAAGGTGCTTTTTTTATTTGGGGTTTGTAAAAAGTGCTTAGTTTTCTATCTTTTAAAAATAGATTTTTTTTTCTATACTGTGTCGTTTGTCATTCTAAACTACAAAAAATGCATGATTTTCACAATTTTCTCTGCAATATTTATCAGAAACTAGTTATTTTATCATGATTATGTGGAACTTGTGAAAATGCTTTTGGAATTTTATTAATTTTATATTCATAAATTAAGAACTTTAAACGATAGATGAAAAAAATTTTATTACTGCACAAATCCTAACTATTATTATTATTTTTTTTTTTTTTTTTTGAAAGGGATTGAAAATATTTTTTGNTTTTGAGTGCTTAAAAAGTACTTAAAAGGTGCTTATTTTTTGTTGAAAAATCTGGCTGCGCACCCTGTATTATGTTTCCCCCTATGGTCTGAAATTGGTGTCTGCTTTATTATATTTTGTCTAACATCTCTAGAGTAACAGTCTTAATCACATCCCTTTATTTATTACCAAGATGTCTATTTATATGTATATATAAATAAACATCTATAATCTCACAAATGCATTTTTAACCTGTATTCATTTAGTTATTGTGTGAAAACAAAATTATTTTTTATTGTTTGCTGTTTTGTTTTGAAGTGAGAATTTTTATATATATATCTATTAAGCTTAGTTACAGTACTTAAATTTATTTTCAACACTGAATCCCTACATGTTATTACAAAAAAGATTCACAAATGTAAAACATTCTCCCCGTTCTCTGAATCTGGGTACATAATTATTGGCTCCTAAAAGAATCGAAAAAGATTGTGTTGAAATAGTAACCTAATTTTAGTGAATTTATAATATTATACATGAGCAATATAAATTCAATAAAATTAGGAACATTTTTAATGAATTTATGTACTATGCCCCTGACCATCTACCTAGACATCTTTACTCTAGGTTGTTAATTTTGGTGCCCTAACAAACTCCTAAACCCAAGACCAGAAATTGGCTCCTCCTCGTAAAAGTCCTCTTACCTCATTTTCTTGAAATTTAGGTTAAATTATTTTATTTTCCCTTTTTAGTGTTTTCTATTTGTTAAACTTTTGATGATGGAATTGGGTTCTTCCAGTGTAATGTCTTTTAACAGAAAAAGTGGAATATAAAGGTTTTTCTCTAAAGGGTTGGAGTAAATATCCCTTAATAAGTTTTACGATTTTGTATCGGCAACTTAATGCTGTACATCAGTCTCTCTCTTTTATTTTATATGTATATACACTTTCCTTTTTGCTTGACTATTTTAACTGAAAAAAGCCGTATTGACTGTTTTTGTTAAAAGAAAATGTTCTCTGCAAAATTTTTTTGAAATTCTAAAGTAACTCTTGTTCTTCATTGACTGTTAATCTCATCCCATGTTTACATTTAAAAAAAAAAATTACAACACACCTTGATTTCTTTTTCTTTGTATAAAACAAAATTTATGTTTCTATTTTTTTTTTTTTTTTTAAATTCTGTGTTTTCCTTCTAGGGTTAATAATGACTGATTAATATTGTTAAAGGAAAATGTTCTCAAAAAAACTGTTGAAATTCTAAAATAATTCTTGTTCCGTTCTATTTCTTGCATGTTTGTGAAAATTACTAGACATCATTTTCTATTTACACCCTTAATTCAGCAGAAGAGTGGCTTCTCTGTTGTTGCTTTCATGTGGAGTTTCCTTTTTTGTATTGTTATGGCACCAAAATTCACATTTTAGAAATATTGGTTTGGATTTATGGTGTTAAAGAAGATGAAGAGATGTTTAAATATTACGTCATGTTTTTGGACTCCTATCTTGTCAACAAAAATAAGCAAATCTCACCCCATGTTTACATTAAAAAAATTGCAACACACCTTGATTTTTTTGTTTTGTTTTGTGTAAAACGCCATTTATGTTTCTATTAATTTTTTTAAATTCTGTGTTTTCTTTCTTGGGTTAATCTTGGAAACTCCTAAAAAAAAAATTTGAAAAGATTTTTAAAATAATATGATTTTAGTATTGTAAATAAACATTGCTCTTAACTCTCCCTTCTTTTTCTTGGGCACTACAGCCTATGACAGGCCAAGGCCGTCCTAATAAATTTTTGCCATCTTGATCTATTTACCTCTCCCTTTGTTAGCAAATCATTAACCCCATTAAGAGGATGCCTTACCACGGGTGAAACTTTTTGTCGCTAATACTCTTTCACCTCCATTACAAATTAAAAATTTTAACAAATAAATAAAAAGTGAGTTCAGTCAAACCTAGAATAAGTCATTAAGTTTCTGTTGCTGAAAAAAATAATGTTCAAGTTATCAAAATGCAAACAGAATATTGGAAGAGAACTTTTCCATTGTGTAATCCTAAGTTATCGTCTCGTCATTTATTTTCACTTTAATATTTTAAAATTTTCTTTTTAGTATTTGAAACTTCATGCCTTACTCTAGGTTTGTCTGAACTCATTTTTTCTATACCTTCAATTTAAAATTAGTTATGGAAGCAGAAATGATGGTGCTCTAAAAAAATAAGAATTTTTCACTACCTGTCGGAATTTATTTATCCTCTTATTTATCGTTTTTAATTTATTTATCGTTGTATTAATTATCGTCTCATAATTTATTGTCTTTTTAATATTTTAAAATTTCCTTCCTGTTATATAAAACTTCATAGGTTGCTCTAGGTTTATCTGAACTCATTTTTTCTATACTTTCAATTTTAAATTAGTTATGGAGGGATGTGAAAACGAATTTGGAATGAAAAGTTTCTCCCGTAGTATGGCGTCCTCGTTAGTGCTTATGTAATTTTTGAACGTCCTGTACAAAGAGGATACTTACTTCTTTATATTAACCTATCAATAAATAGGTTAAGTTAATCATCCATAAACGGGCAATAAAAGCTTTGTTCTTATAGTGTCACTAATATGAGATTTTGTTTTGTATCATTAGTTCCTGTATCAAAAAAGGTTAATTCTAATAAACTGTAAGCTAGTTTTGGTTTTTAAGCATCTGAGAAATTACTTCAGAATTCTTCTGTTCCACATTAAACATGGAACAAAAATGAATTATATTTTCGCAGTTAATTGTACAGTTAGTGTTTGTTTCCTGTATTTTTATGAAGCTTATTGTTCTCGTAGTATATTTTCCACATGTACCAACCGAGTCCTTGAAATTTTCTAAGTAATTCATAATTTTAAATATCTAAAATTAGTTAAAAATAAGCTTAATTTGTAGTTGTTGCCCTCCACATTCAAATTGTCCTCATGTTCGGTGAAAAATGAACTAGGCAGCCAGTGCCACACAAAATTAGTTTAATTTAATGGAGTGTTCTTCTATCTCTCTAACAATGTTTTTCAAATTTGTGTTCTTTTTTTTTACCTAACTATAACCCTCGTGCTAGTGACAAGTGAATATTATTATTTTTATTTGTTACCTTTTAATGTTTAATCTCTTTTAACACTATTTAGTTTTTACCTTTCACCACAGAGCTTAATTCTTCATACACAGAGTAAAGTTATCTATTATTATACAAATTGAAACTCTTGAATATTTCTGAAGACTTAACATACCAAAAAATGTTTTAGAAAGAATGAGCCTCCTTTCATCAGGCTGTAATAAACTGATGAAAACAAGTTTTTTCTTGAAATGCCCTAATAAATATTATTGAATAATGATATTACTCTATAATTATTAACACTAAACATACCAACACTACCTATTTCTACCATAGCCGGTCAAATGACCGAACTATATGTTTCTTGATTGAATGTATGAAATATGGATGTTAGGAAGGAAATAAACTAAAAAAACTTCATTATAATTAAACAAAATTGTATATTGCCAATTTTTATGTATTACAAACACAAAGAATAAGAATTTTTAATTCATTGCTCAATGCATTTTTTACATATGCAGGGTGTTTCCCTTGTGCATTT